CGGAACATAACATCCACGCAAGAGCTCCACGTGACGGCATCCTTACTCTGCCCCAGCTTGTTGGCCATCGACATCCCCACATCGAGCGTGAAAGACCTGCCCAGGGAGCTTGCGCTCATGATACCCCTGCTCCGGCGCGACTTGACTGACGCCTTGGAGGTTAGAGTTAGAGCTATTAGGCTAGGCTTTTGGCTCACCCCTAAGCGCCAAGCCATCATATATAATCGTTGCAGAGGGGAACTGACGCTGTATGTGTGCGGACGCCTCCCGGCTTCTGTTGAACAGGTTCGCGAAGCACTGCAGCTGGTTGATGAATGGGTTGATGCACATGACCTGACTGACACCCAGGCTATGTTATATGACACTGCCCCCTTCATCGCCAGGGATACCTTTGAACGCCGCCTCAGCATTCATCTTGCACCGGCATCATCCCTTCTCCAGCCCATCTCATGTCTCATGTGGCAGACGGACACTGCTGCACCGCGGCTTTGTACATCATGTTCGGCCCAGATCGACCCAGGCCGGGACCAGTTTGATCCAGCTTGGCACAAGCTCCGCGCGCTCACGAGCTGTGAGGCTGTGAAAGAGACGGCGGCCGCCAGACAGAGTGCACCTTTGTCGCCAAGAACTTGAGCAGAGACAGATTGATCTTGCCAGCAGCGTTGCCTGACCAGAGCGAGGGTACTTAGTACTTGCGGTCGAACTGCGGGCATTGACGAACAGACCGACCCCACGGACGCCCTTCTCACGTGGGCGTCGCGCGTGGCACTTCCGCCATGTTCTGTGTGGAGTTGTAATGCCAGGTTTATCCTGGAGGGCCCACGCACGCACATGACCCAGCCTTAGAGACTTCCTGTACAAAGGTACCGCCGGGTATATGCTACCTGAGTACAGATAACTCTTGATATCTGCCAAGCATCCATGACCTTGATAGTGACCTTTGTCATTTGTGTTGCTTGGCACGCGCAAGCTTCGGAACACTGTCGAAAATGTTTCCCGCCCCGGCGTAATTGGCCATCTCGCCCTCCAAGGAGAAAGGAAGAGCGGGCGTGCGGTCGGAAGCATCTACCGCACAGGCGGGCGACACGTGAAATTTGTAACGGCCCTCGCGTGCAACTTCTGTTTCTTGCGCCTCGGTCTTTGTCTTGTCTAACTCTTTACAGAGCCCTCGAGCACTAGAGTTGAGCACGGAGTTCGCCCAGGAGGCCCCTCATCCGCGCTCTTCTTCTCTTCCTTCGGCGGCGGTGGCGGCGATTGGCGTTTGGTTGTGGTTTGGCAGGGTTGCTGGGGCGGCGGTTGTGAGCAAGTGGCGCCGGTGGTGTTGTTGCTGCTGCGCTGGGTTTTGGGGGGCAGGGGAGTTTTCAAAGTACTACCACTGATGTGAACAACTTTCTGGACTTGGCAGACATTGTAGGCACTCTGGCGTAGCTAGTGTGAGGCCCCTTTTTTGGCACTCCCCGCTGAATTGAAATGCTTTCGTCAGGAGTCGCCTGTGACTTGTCAAGCCACGTAAAACCTTGGCGCCCCCATCAAACTGTGAGGCGCCTCCTCCGGCTTCGTTACCGAGCATTCCTCGTGAGGCGTCAAGCCCAGCTCATTTGCAGCCTCGAAACCCCACCTGATTCGCAAACTTATTCTCGGCGCAGGTGACCCAATTCCACGCACTCGTCGTCAGGGAGTCACCCTTGCCTCATGGAAAGCAGCTTGGAGACAGAACTGGCTGACCTGGAACCTAGGACACCCAACACGCACTCCGAGGTCAATCTCTGTAGACATCCAGAGGAATAGAACCATGTATAATTAGTATATATACATATACATGTAAATACATGTAAACCGATCACTGGCTTCACGCCTTGACGTTCAAGACACGTGACATGTGCACAGGCCGCCCATGGCTCCGAGGGGGTTACGTCAAGTTCTTTAACACGTAACCACTTGAAGAGGTGGCTATCAGCACGCGTGTTTTTCATACACTTGCAAGACATTCGCAAAGGAAGGTGTTCAGAACGGCATCGCGTGGGTTGACGAACCTCATCAGAACGCGGATGCTGCGGATGCTCTGCACGCAGTCGTTGCCGATGTCAGCGTGGTTCGCCGCTTCTGCTTTGAACCAGGAGAAGCTTCTGCCTAACAAGAAATAAACAAACCTGACTTCCGTGTGTTGCCAACTGCAGAAAAAACGACGAAGCATCGAGGCAGCAAGACAGCTTTCTCATACTCCGCAAGCATCGTGTCACGAGTCGGCCGCTTTGGCAGCGCTAATTACCTGACTCCACAGACATAGTCAGGCAAAACACGGACGCCTCCACAGTTGTCTGGAAAGAGGTCACTGCTGGCCTGAACCTCCGCCCAACACGGGACATAGCGAAACTCAGCGGAGCTCCAACAAACTTCAAAAAAAACACGACAAACAGGTCGGGGTCCACTCGTCGAGGATGAGGATGCACTGGAAGCTTGCGCAAAGCCCAGCGACTCAGCACGCGTGGAAGGTTCGTGCGTCTGCTATTCTCTCAAGTTGCAGCGACTGGGCTACGGGTTCATGCCCACGGGAGCCATCCTGCAAATTCCAAGTAATGAGAGACCCAGCATAATGCAACGAGCACAGGGCTGGAACCGAGCCTGTAGATACAAACATTTGTGTGACGTTGGTCGTATCTGCACACGAGAGCAGCTGAGACCATTCTGCATTCCGCTTCAAACCAATGCACTTCTCTCGGCCTCTCTGCGGACTCTTTGGGCGGCGGCTCACAGTGTTGCTGACAAACGTGCGAGAATCTTGTGAGATCAACCTAGATGACATTATCACACATTATCGTGTCAGTAAGCGGAAAGGCACTGCCATGGCGAGCAAACGCGCCTCCTGAGGTCTGGGACGGCGGGGTGATCGCAATTCCTGCTCACAGGGCCCGCTGGGCTGCGAAGATTCTAAGTGTCTCGCGAAATCCAACAGCTGCGATCACGCAGCTTCATGTTGTCAATTCGCGCACCACCACCACCACCACCACCACCACCAGCAGCAGCAGCACCACCATCACCACCACCCGTGTCGGGCTTTTGCAAATGCTCAGTTCCGGATTTATGCACTATCTGCATCTGTTTCCCTCGGTTTTTTGCACATATCACACGTTGTTTTGGCTTTGGCGCGTGCTTTTTGCACTTACCGGATTTGGGCAGTTTTTTTCTTGTTTTCGTGCTTCGAATTTTCCGCGTTGCGGACCTGCTTCCCATCTCATTCGTTTTTTGCAGAGTTTGTCGAGCTTTACGCGTTCGCCTTGCTTAGCAGGGCTCTGAGCTGTCTTCTGTGCTAGGGTGAACAACTACTGAATATGCACCGCGCATTTGTTTGCACGTTGTTGCGCGGATGCGTTGATGCCCAAACACGCGTTCTAAGCTAGTTGGTTCAGGATTTTGGAGAAACTAGTGTTTTTGGACTGCTTATGAATACATGTTTTGGAGATCTTTATCTGTTGAGGGCAGTTAGGGTTCAGCGGTCTGGGGGCTTAGGGTTGGAGAACATGTCAGGCTTGAGGTCTACGGCGTAAAGCCCCCCTTCCGGAACTCAACACGGTGCATTTGCAATCGCGGAAGCTCACGAGCACGGGCCCTATAGCCTCTGGCTTGGATTTAGGGCCATGGGAACGCGGGCAGGGTTTGAGGCTTTGGCGCCGCACTGCCATCGGCGCGTGAAACAACAAATAAAAGACAAGATGCGATCGCGCACTGTGAGATGTTCTATTATCGAACGGGCAGAGGGTTGCTGAATAGGAGCCAGCCCACGCTCACACAAACTACGTATCAGCACACGAAAGATCACGCAAGCATGCAGCTGACGGGAAGCCTTGATGGAAGTGCTGGCCAGGCCGTCTCCATCTGCTTACAAGTCTCAGCAGGTACAAAAAACGCAGGTTCTTACCTCGCCGATCCCTGATATCGGGCCTGTTTTGACTACCACAGGCTTTCCATCGAGACTTGACCGCTGTCCCTGTGGATGGAAGGCCTACGCATCCCAATGTCTGTGTTGCGGCGCTCCGACGGCACGCACCGATTGACGTGACATTGACGGCTCTTGCCGATGGAAGCAATCTGTTGTAGAGGCACACAGCAAAGAGCAAGTCGAAGTGCTCACGCCTGCAGGTGCGACCTGCACCCTCCTCCCGGATCTGCCTGAAGATGCCGCATTTGTTAATTTGGGCTTGCCACTGCGGCACCTTGCCAGCAGCCCTCAGGAGCCGAGCTTGGGAATGGAGGGTTGAGGTTGAGGGCATAGGGGTTGGCGTCTAGGGTTCAAAGCCCAACTCGAAAACCCCAAACCCTAAACCCTAACATCCAAAACCCAAATTTCCGCTAGTAGACACAAAAGACCGAGGCGATGTCTGACAGCTCCCTTGGCGACAAGTTCGGCACTGCCATGTCCTCGCAAAGAGAAGCAGTTGTACTGCACGATCCTAATGGTGCACGGTGTGTCTTGCCGTACTTCCTTTGGGGCATTCACGAAATTGGCCGTGGGTTTGACAAGCGGAAAGGGCCCATGTGCCATCACTCCTGGCGTGCGGAAGCTGGCTCTGTATTCCAGAACACGTGCCGTGGACCCAACGCCAGTTGAGCGATAGGATCGGGCCATTCTTGGCTGCAGCGTGCGCCAAGGCGTCAGCGATTCCAGTGAACACGCAGCCAACATGCGATGGGATCCAAACCGATTGGGAAGGTTGCCCATACGCGGCACTAGTAAACATGAGGCCAATGGCGGATTCAGACACCCAATCAGCCTCATGAAAGGCGGCTTGTCCATGTGTAACCGCAAGTGGCGCAGAGCAATCAGCGGCAAGGATGACCGGCACAGGCGCCTCGCTAAGTGCAATGGCTCTCGCGCGCAAAACGGCCTCACGCTCGGCTCGAAAGGAGTTGGTTGGAAGACCAATGTCATGGCAAATACCGGAGGCGCATCCTCACAACGTCACCGTGCCTAACAAGACACAACCGCCCACGCAGACACATTGCTAGCCGGATCCCATGACCCGTCCGTGAACAAGAAGATGGCCTGGATAGCCTTTCTTATCCCAATCCCAGCATGCTTTGGTGACGAAGTCAAGGCGGGGCAGCGGGGGCAAAGCGCGGCCAAGTTGGTCAAAACGATGTCCCTCTAGCAGGCGCTGGAGCATAGTGGCCCCGGCGGGGCGAGCTTGGCACCAGCTCAGACAGCTCAAGTTGGACCGGCGGGCGACTGGTATTCCCTTAGACGGGATCATCAAGGCTTTGCTTAGGCCCATTCTGGGGGCACTTGCGCAGGGATCAATGTAGAGAAAGCATGTGCTGCACTGCAGTTCCCGCTCCCATGCGAAATGTCGCAGCGCGAGCCAGCTCCGGGCTTGGATTGACTTGGCCAAAGACGCAGACCCCTTCACATGGGCCGCCTTGCGCGAGGACGGGGTTTGGTTCGGCTTGGCCCAACAGGCAGGACGGAGCATCTTGTCAACAACAGGACTTGCGCTACCACCGCAAATGGACCTACTTGAATGCCGTGACTTCGGTCACGAGCATCTTCCGCGGCTCCGGCGCGCCATTCGAATGTTCCCCAAAAAGGAGGTCCAAGGTCGGGATGCACTGAGTTGGCTTCGTCGCCCGAACCTGTGCCTCCCCCTCCGCTCATCAACCTTGATGAAGACCACGCTTGTCCCTTGTGTCACGCTTCCTTTGCGACCCTCCATCAACTTGCCACACACAGGGCCCGCAAGCATGCCGATTGGCCCGAGGCCCAAAGGGCCGCTTTCGGCACCAGACGCGAAGTGTGTAGGACGGAATTTTGGGAGCCAATGCGCTTGCAAGAACACTTAAGGCATAGCATTGGGTGTCTTTGCACGTACCGGGTGTCGGACCTCAATGATAGCGCACAGGCTGCGACCGGCTACACGAACTTTTGGAGCGCAGCCTTGGTGGGCGACCCTACAACCGGGCTGAAGGTCGCTGTTCCTCCCATATTTTAATTCTTCATCGAGACTTGGCCTGCAAAGCTTTTGGCAATGCCGCTTAGGCGTGCATGGAATCAGCATCGCGCCGCATGGCTCTTGACCGAACCGTTAACAAAATCCCAAAGCCCAAACCCTAAAACAGGAGTCTCGCGCCTGCACCGTCGCACCGTTCCAGGGGCCAGTGCCGGCTGCCAGGAAGGCCAGGTGGCCGAGGACGTCATCCATGGCCTGAGGCTGCCATGGTTTAGGGTTTAGGATTTAGGGCTTGGGGTTTAGGGTTTGGGGTTTAGGGCTTAGGGTTCAGCATCTCTGTGTGTAGGCAACGGAAAAAAACCACCCGCCCAAAAAGTCCCATAACTTTAAGAACATAGAAAGTTTTTCTCAATTTCTGTTCAGACGCACCAAGGTACCAAACAATCACACAGACCTCAAGATATTCCATCCAGGAACCCTGAGTCCTGAGTCAGTCCTGTGCCCAGCTGGCTTCGTGGCTCGTTGAGCTGCAGTTCGTGAACAAAAAGGGGTCAGAGGGGCCAGCTGCAAGTTTCATAAGTTGTGTTTAACTTGCAGCTGTTTTTGGTTTCGGGGCCACCAAATCCCAGATCCCCCCGTCCCAGATGCCCCCGTCGCAGATGCAGGGCCGAAATGGATCAAAACGCCAAGTTCGTGCTGTGAACAATGGGGGGGACAAAGAAGTGGTCAGAGGGCCCGAAATGGATCAAAACGCAAAATTCGCGCTGAACAGTGGGGGGGCCAGGCCGAAATGGATCAAAACGCCAAATTCGTGCTGAACAATGGGGGGGCCAAATGGGTCAGAGGGGCCGAAATGGATCAAAACGCCAAATTCGTGCTGTGAACAATGGGGGGGCCAGAGGGGTCAGAGGGGCCGAAATGGATCAAAACGCCAAATTTGTGCTGAACAATGGAGGGGCAAACTGGGTGCTGAACAATGGGGGGGCGAGGGGCCGAAATGGATCAAAACGCCAAACTCGTGCTGAACAATGGGGGGGCCAAATTGGTCAGATGGGTCAAAACGCCGAATTCGTGCTGAACAATGGGGGTCTAAACGCCAAATTCAAGTTTAACATTTAGGTTAGGTTTACCCTCCATATGCCCCCCCCCTCTATGTTTTTGCCATTCCGTCAATGGGAAGCATGCCCTAAGACTCAGGACCCGACAGAGGTCATGGCCTCAGACAACGCGCAGGCGGGGGTTGTAGCGGGAGCTCATCTATTGCCGTAATCCCACTACAAGAAGACAACCCACGACACGCTCGGCCTAGACAGATCTACATGCTCGACTTGGGGTATAGCATGCACTGAGCCAACCCCTGAACCGAAGGTATCTGTTATCACAACTCCCGTTCGATTCTGTTCTGATGATTCATAGTCGATGTTGTCATGTAGTCTTGTTCTTGTGGAATCCAGCCAGACCTAAGAGGCTCATAGAGTCCCCCAAAACATCTCCAAACTGCAATACAACAAAAAGCAAACATGCAATCGCAAAACATCCCTTGGGCCTGATCCTAATGTGACCGGAACATCCGAAACTATCCAAATCTTTTGGCACCCCAGACTGTCAAGCCCAAACAGGTGCCATCATTGCTGAAACTTAACTTGGCACAAACAAAGAACTGAAACACCGTCACCCAACAAAAGAGCAGGATGCCCTCGGACTTGCAAGAAACTAAATATAGACCAAAGCCATCAGAGAAGCTTCGGCAGGCCGAAAACCCCAAAAAAGCATCTGCAAGGCCCTGGCACCACCGTGGCAGAGCCCTCGGTGGCTTTCAGCCCCTCGACGGAACTCCACGGGCCCCTGCGGGTCTTTCAGAAATTGGGTTGCTTAAGGTTTTATGGGTTTCGAGGGGCTCCTCTTCAAACAGGAGAACAGGCAAATGTTGCAGACGTCTATGTGGCATCAGGGTCCGAAACAAAGGTAGGTTGTTCTTCTCCAAAATCTTGAACCCTTCAAGACTCAGGCTTCTTTGACGAGAATGTTGGGGATGCATCGCATAGTCGTTGTTGTGCGTGATGACAGGTTCTCCTTCCTCGTGTGTGCAAGAAGTTCTCTTAAATTCACCTTCAACATCAACTGGCAGCCTTCTGATTCCGAAGCAAACCATGCAGCCCAGCCTGTAGTATCTTCTCCTGAGAACTAGGATTTAGGCTAGCTTTCTATGAGAAAGCCTCCGCAAAATGGGTTCACACATTCGCGGTGAGCGTGTGTGTGTGTGTGTGATGTTTGCTGTGTGATAAGTGATGCGTGGTGCATGGTGTGTGTGTGTGTGTGTGTGTGTGTGGGTGTGTGGTGTGGGCTGCGCGCTGCGTGCTGTGTGCTGCGTGCTGTGTGCGGTGTGCGGTGAGATGTGTGCTGTGTGGTGTGTGTCCGTGTGTCCATGTGTCCATGTGTCCGTGTGTCCGTGTGTCCGTGTGTCCGGGTGTTCGAAAGAGGGTGCGGACCCCTGTGTGTGTGTGTGTGCCTCTGTGTGTTTGTGTGTGTGTGTGTGTGCGTGTGTGTGTGTGTGTGTGTGTGTGTGTGTGTGTGTGTGTGTGTGCGTGTGCGCTTGTTTGTTTTCGGGCAATGTAGTTTCTTGCTTCTTTGCGAGTCAGCGCTTTCACTTCTTCCTGCTGGCAGAAAGGGGCCTTGATGGGAAACGCCTCTCACATTTGCTCTCAGCCCAGACCCAGCGCTATCATGCGCTATCCATGCAAACGTCCCGTGAGCAAAGTGGGGCTGATTGAGATGAAGACATGTCTAATCTAGGCTCATCACAATCCTAACCCAATGAGGTGACGCCATGTCAAGCCCAAGCATCATCGGGGCTGTAAAAGTAGCACGGGATGTACCTGGCATGCGCAGAAAACAATTACAAAGAAATCCGATTGCAGAATGTGGAGTCTGTTAGGCCGTGGGTAGTCATCCACAACAACAGGAATACGTACAGCACTGGTTCAAGGTCACAGTCACCGACCGTCACCGACCGTCACCGACGAGGCTTTGCCCATGCTGGGGGTGTGGCACTGCGCTGTCCGGGCTGTGAAGAAGGTCGGAACCTTGCTTTCGAGCTGAGAGGCTGCCAGAATGACTGACAAGGCTCCAAGTGAGGTTGGCGCCGTGCCATCCCCGACTTCGACGCCAGTGGCCATCCTTGGCAGGGCTTTTGCATGGCTACTCATGGCCTCAACGGCTCAGCACGTGCTCTCAGGTGCCCACCTCCCACTCTCGCATCCGCACTTGCAAGTGCGACGAACTTTCCTCCAACCAGCGCAACCAGGAAGGAAGCTCATAAGCCTGGACCATCGATGACATGACAGTCCGGCATGGCAGTGACAACATGAAATAATCAGATTCATGTTTCAACGGTACATCCTGCCTTTGGCGCTGATTGTGTTCGTTTGTGGCGGACCTGACGTCTCAATTGATTTTCCATAGCATGATACCGTAAACATTTGGTGTCTGTAAAGTCTTTGTCAGAACAGTGGACAATCCAAGGGACTGCCAACAGCGTCAACAGCAACGCGCTTGCTCCAGCAACCACCAGCACTTGTGGTTTGCTGATCTGCGCCATCACTCTCTGACTGTTGACAGCCGTGGAGCATGTCGTCTGGTGCACCTAAATTGTTCATATGTTCGGCAATGAAGCTGAGTCCAATATGCGAGACAGATAAACATCTGTTTCATGTTCTGAGCACAGAATTAGGACTGCCATGTTGAAAGTCAGCGAACCTCTCATGGCAGCCTTAGGATGCACTACTCGTACTGCTTGAACCGTATGTAAGGCAGCATGCAGGCCGTGGCGAAGCAAGGGAATTAAGTGTTCAGGGTCTCCGCTGAGGGTGCGGTTTGCCTAGCTGCGTCTCTGCGTTTACGTACTTGAGGCGTGCCATTCTCTTTCGGAACATTTCCCTCCATCTTCCCGCCAAGGAGGCATCACACGACATTCGCTTTGCCATTGCTCTCTCTGAGATTGCCTACTTGCACAGCTTAAGCGGCCTGGAACTCCACGAGAGCAGGCATGACAAGCAATCACGTGCCCTGGCTGAAACGAGACGTGAACTCCGCCAAGTATGTTTTGGTCACCAAATGTATTTACTGATCCCAAAAACAAGCTATTGTTAAACCAAGTTGATCTTGACTACACCTTCCTAAACTAGGATTGGGTTCAGACGTCGAAGGGTCTGATCCGGGCGTAAAGCTTTGAGCTACGTACAGTGACACACAGTTTCATGCTTTGGGTTTAGGGTCCAAACAATCTCCAAGCGAGAACGAATCTTCAAAGTTGCAACAGCGCTTGGAGGCACAAGGATGCCACCTCTAGAGTTCAGAACTCGCTCACGTGTCCCTGACTTCACACAAGCTTGTTTGAACAAAGCTGTTCCGGCAGCAGCGCTTTCATGTTGAGAAAAGCTTGGCCTTATCAATGTTGGCCAAACGAGCCCAGCATGGGCTCTCTACGATGGGCCTGATAACTTCCTGTGCTGCAGCGCATGTTTTTTGCATTTGTAAGACTCCAGGATCCAGCTGAGCTACAGCAACACTCCTTCGGCCATCGATCCGCGGCCAGCTCGGAGAGGCAGTCTCTACATGTCAGCTTGTTTGCCGGTTCTCTGCATGGCCAACGATCCGCAGCCATACTCTGTACACAAATCCCGTTCCAAGATCGGCCCGGTGCATTGTTTTCTGTACAATAAAATGTCAGGCCAAAGCTGGCAAATTCATGGCCCCCACTGCGGAGCAGTCACGGCTACGTCCATCGACAAAAGTGCTCATGCACTGCACGCATCATCCTGTACCAACTCCTCGGTTGCTCGGTTGTGAACAGGCATCAGTGGCTTCATGATGCCATCAGACCACAATGGTCCACCTGGCCTCGGGAAGACACGCAAGGCCAACTTCTCTGGAGAAGGTGCAGCACCACCACCTTCGCAACTGGCCACCATCTGGTATCCCGGAATGCCCTGCAGACGGAAGTGGATCAACATCGAGGCCAGAAAGGTCTTGGCTTCGAAGAGGGCAAACTGGCTTCCAATGCAAGCGCGACTGGCAAAGCCCCAGGGATGATAGGCATTGGGATGTCGCTGCCTCACAGCCTCCGGAGAGAAGCGATCGGGATTGAAAGAAAGCGGGTCTCCAAATTCACCGCCCCAGTACTCCGGGTTCGTGTGCAGGGCACGTGTCACCAGGTTGATCCTCTCCCCTTGATACACTCGATGACCCCCCAGCATTGTGTCGTATGCCACGTCGCGAGTAATGGATGTCACTGGGCTGTAGAGCCGCAGTGCCTCGCGGAAGCACTGCTCCACAAATTGCAGCTTGGGCACGTCGTCCACAGAGGGTTCAGTGCGGCCCTGCAACACCTCTCTCACCTCCGCCAGGGCTCGTTCTTCGTAGACAGGATGCTCCGCCAGCAGCTGCAACGTGAAGCCCAAGGTGGCTGCGGTGGTTTCGTGGCCTGCAATCATTAGGTTCACGATATGCCCGTAGAGAGCACCGTAGCGAACCCGCTTGCCATCCGCACTGAGGTCGTTCAGCATCGTGGCAATGATCGAGCTCTCACCCAACTCACCTCTACGTGTGGCTTCCACCAGGTCTTCGACTTGTCGGTGCATCTCCTTCTTGGCGGCCTGGTACCTCTCCTGAAGTTGACCTTCGGCATCGAAGAAGGGCAGGAAGCGCTTGAGGCCATACCTTGCGAGCCCAGCAAGTTCCATGTTTCCTAAGGGTACCCAGAACCCTTTTCTGGGCGTTGGTTACTTGATAAGGGAACCCGGAACCAGGAACCACAAAGAAAGGCAGAAGGGACCACTGGGCGACCAAGATGCTCAGACTGTGCCGTGATGCTCCCCATTGACACGCCCAAGCCAAAGCGGAATGTCTCGACAAACTTGTGAGGCGCTTGCTTGGAACCCAAGCGTTCCACGTTGCACATGTCCATTCCCATGCTACATGAGACCACGGCATCTGCTGTCATGGCCGTCAGCCATTCATTCACATCTTCGACCAAGTGGCCAGCTTCAAACTTCGACCATTCCCCAACAAAGGCGCGAGTCTTGGCCAAGATCTGTGGAGCAAAGCCCTTCACCTTGATTTGATTGAAGCCACGCGGGAGGAGGCTGTGACCCGTCTTCCAATCCTCCGACTTCTCGCTGCTGGTGAAGAGCCCATTGGCCGTGAAGTCCTTGCAAAGCAGGGTCACTCTTGCTTCCAGAGCTTTGCTAGTCGTGGGTTGTGTCTGGGTGGCAGCCAAGGGAAGCAAACAAAATGATGACGCAATCAGATGTGTTTCTGTATGTGCATATGTATGTACCCCATACTATACACATACGATCACACATGCGCAAGCATTGTCCCAGCCCTTGCCTGCAATCCAACCTCAACATCTCGGTTCCAAAGTTTAGGGAAATCCGCAGCTCTTGAGATCAGCTCTTGGACGATGTTGGCATCAGCCGTCATTGTCTCAGTGTATTCAGCATCCTGGTGGAACACTGCAGCGCCGAACTCCCCGACAGCTTGCTTGCGACCTTCGTGACATCGCACAGTGGAGCCGTATGGATACTTGCCACTTGTGGGAAATACATTTTGAGCGAAGTTGTACTCAACAATCGGGTAAGGCCCCTTGTACTGGTAGCTGGTGCCGAGGATCGGGAGGCAAATTCCACACATGGGAAAGGCTTTGGGACCCTGCGGCACATCTGTTGGACAGGGTGCTTCGCGAGCAAAAACCAAGTGAATCACTTGCAAATGGTCTGGCGGCAAAGCCGAAAGCAACAGATCCAGCCTGCCAATCTCCGTTAAGCGGTCCATGAGCTTCAAGCACACTCCATCCACCGTCTGCTCCACTGGATAGAAGCTGAAGTGCTCCACATCTGCTGGTAGGCTGCATTCACTCACCGCTACCAGCATAGCTTGGTGCAATTCCTGCAGCGTAGCCGTTTTCGGCACTTTCACGAAATGCCACGCAGCAGATGGGATCTCGGGGCAATGCACCGCCAGGTGGTACTCAAAAGGTGACGAAGCTCCTCGTCGTGCGGACACTTTCCTTGGCTGTAGCAGCGTGTTTGGAATCCTAGTAACTTAGTAGTTATCTCTTCTTGGTCCTGGCGTTAGCAGGAGGGTCATTTTTCCAGCGCTTTACATAGCATTCACTCCTAAACAGTTTCACCTTCCAGGTAAGGTCCGAGTTGCAAGGACTTCTTCAGGGTCGATGATGCCAGCATCAAGGCTGTGGCCCCCAAGGCCATGCCGCCTGCCATCCTGATGATCTGTGACTGCTCTGCCATTGCTTACGCCGAAGGCAAGGAAAGGCAAGGACTGACAAGGCTCGGAGGTTTCAAGAGCTCAAGATCTGCAGCAAAGTTCAGAGCTGCACAGCCTACCACATGCACAAACCAAACGCATGCTCGTGGACGCGTCGACCCATGCAGAGAATCAAGGCGCAAGCCCTAGGCTGGGTTGGTTGGGCAAGTTTTAACGTCAATAACTTGCCTACCCGCCCACCCAGAATCCCAATGCATCGCAGAGAGAGAGCAGCACCTTTGCTTTTCGGATCTTCGGCGTAGAGCTCCCATCTGCAGGCGGGTGTCCATGCTCAATGTTCGAGCACGCAACGGCTGCAAACGGTCTGCCCGTGTTCTGATGCTAGAGCATGCCTGGCGCATGCCGACTCCACGAGTGCAAGAGCAGGGCTCGTCTGTTTGGCGAAGGCTTGCCGACATCGTCTCTTCTCTGATCCATAGTCCATCCTGCGAAGCAAAGCCGAACAGTATGCGAGGAACCGCCGAAAGCGCCCAGCCTGCGACAGCAGTAAGTTCGCGAGGCAGATGTCTTTGTGTCGTCATGGGCACCGTCACATCGTAGTCGCAAAGCATGCCCCGCTCGATTGCTTCGTCCAAACCGTGCAGAAAAACCACGTCCAATGTAACTTATGTGTGGCCGAGAACTGGAAAAGATCTTTGCAGCTCGGCATTCCCTCAGGCAAAGTGTGATGGCCTTCATCGACGCACGCAGCCTCGAACTTCAGCTCTTCCAGCATCTTCGAGACAGTCACAGTCGATCTTGTCGTTGTATCGGGTGCCCAGCTTGCAGCAGCCCGGCATCTCCTCGGCGAACTGCTCCAGAAGCACACGCGAGGGGAATAGCATATGATGGATGTGCTCACTCCCGGCCTTCCCGGGCACCCATGCCTCCAGCTCCCGTATAGTCTTCCCAGCGCAGGCCATCTCGATGACCCGGCTTCCTTGGCACATGCCAGACAGCTGCAGAGATGCGCTGTCCGTGTAAGAGAGGCCTGAGGCATGCACTGACATTGAAAGGTGGGTGAAGTGCAGAAGCACGCGGAAGCCACGGAAGCGCCTGTTTGGTGTTTCTTGTGCGTTCCGGGTTTGTTAAAGCTTGAAAAAAAGTTATAGACGGAATGCAGCTTCGCGAAAAGATGAGGGGTTACTGTGGACTCCGGCACCCATGCTGCTCATCATGGAGCGGCCGGTGCCAACGTCATCCATCGCCAAATAGGCCTCTCTGCTTTCTCTTCATTTGGTTTCAGGCATTCTGGGGCATTTTGGGGGGCCCAAAGTCATAGGAGCTTTGAACCTTCACGAACCTTCTAAATCTAGGCGCACTTCCAAACTCCCAATCCAAAGCCTTAAGCCCGAAGCAAGACAACTTCAACCTCAGCCAGTATACCTGAAAGCCCAAAACTCCGGCGGGGCTAGCATCTCAGTGAAGTGAAATCTTGAACTCTGGTGATTCTGCTTCTGCGGATGCCTGGGACGCCGCGCATTGTACCACTGCACTTCGCTGCTGTTCGGCGCAGACCTGGCGGCTTCCGGATGGGGGTGAAGCGGTTTCGCGCCGCATCGCAGTGGGGTCAAGAGTTTGCAGTCTTGGGTCCACTTTCAGCGGCCAAGGGCTGAGGGATCCTATGGGCCAAAGCAGCAAACGGCCGATAATGGACCAGCTGAATCGAACCCTACGCACAGCGCCTTGGAGCAAGTGAGAGAGGGGATTTGCAATATCGGGAATGGCATCGGGCTACTTAAGAAAAATCAGGCGCAGCGCAGGACCACCAGAAACTGCTTCAGAAACTACTTCAGCATATGGCCGGTGGTGGGATGTGTGGTTTCAAACAACGGGGCTCCTGCGGAAACTTGGGCGCACACGTACAGCACTTACCAGTACTAAAGGCCTCCACTGAACTCAAGATCAAAGGCATCAGAGACAGCATGAACAATCCCCCAAGGCACACTGCTAGTGACATGCGAGGTTCTCACATGACGGCAAAACCACACCCACCCAGAAACAGGTCAGTAGATAGGTGCACATTTCAGATGGACTGCCAGGAATCCTTACAACACTATGTACACCCAAGTTCAAACAATCGTGCCAGGCAAAGCTGAATGACGCCCCCCAGCTCGCCGGCATCCAGCCACTTGTCCTGACAAAACATCTGAGGGTATAGAAGGGTTTCGGAAGGTTTAGGAAGCGTGCAGCAGCTTGGAGTCAAGAGGTCATGGCAGCTTGTACAGCCTGAGGCTCTTGGAGGTCGAGTTTTGGCACAGGTTCTCAACTGTCACATGCGTCGACACTTCCATGAAAGGCTCTGGGTCTAGGTGCAAACCCCAAGCCCCAAACCAAACATGGGTAATCTATGGGTTCCAGATGCACCAAAGCAGAATCCCCACTAGCCACCATTTGTCGAGGGATCTGCCTAAACCCTAAACATAATGCACCACCCTTCAATACACTGAGTGGATCCAGGGTCGCTTAGCAAACCTTTTTCACGGTCACTTGGCAACAGACAGCGATACCGTTTACGGTCACTTAGCCATTGTTTTCGAGGGTCTCTTAGCCAATTCGGGGTTTCAGGGTTTAGGGTTTGGGGTTTGTGGGGTTCGGGGCGTGTTTAGGGTTCAGGGTTTAGGGTTTAGCGTTTAGGGCTTAGGGTAGGCTTTAGGACTTAGGCTTTCGAAGTCAAGGTTTAGGGTTAAGGGTTTCAGGTGTAGTTTTCGTCGGCTGAACGTAATAGTGTGAAGACTCCCAAGGCCACCCAAACACTACCCATCACGAACCCAAACCGGAGCCAGCCAAAGCCAAGCCAGCCATTCAAAATTCACACGTCGCACATTTTTAGAAGACACTTCGGTTAGAACACTGAGAATGCTTGGGACATTTGCGACTTGCGAACTCTCATAGAAAATTCCAGGGCATGAACAGCCTCCAGGTTTTTGAGGGGGTGCCAAGGATCTCCTTTGACTTCGGAAATCATTTGGGCCAGAAAACTCAGGTTTTGCGCAGGGGACGGTCTGGGCCGAAGGGCCCTCTCATAGAAAACCAAGGATCTCCCAAGAGTTCAGATTGGCGAACCTTGTCTTTGGGTCACTTGGAACATTTGGCGATTCGGGACCCTGCTGGCTGCCTTAAGTCATTGGCCTTGTCGGATTGCCAAGGGTAAATGGCGAAAGTGCAATGAGGCCTTGTGCAAAACATGCTCAGAAGCTTCCGAGGTTTGCACACGGTGCTTTCAAGGAGGGTTTAAGGTCTCCTACTGGAAGGGTTTCAGGCGCCCCTGCCTACTGGAAGGGTTTGGAAAACCCATCAAAAAACTTTTTTCCAATCAAAAAACTTTCCCCAACCAATCTAAAAAAACTTTCCAAAAGTCAAGAAAAATTTTCCAATACAAAAAACTTTCTTTGGGTATTTATAAGAGATCTAGAATTTCTTCGAGAAGCGTGACCCATCAAAAAAAACTTTTTCTCCATCAAAAAATTTCCGAATTCGACGTATACATATGTTTCTAAATAAAAGACTGCATAAAAGCGAGGGGTTTGGGGGGGGTGCGCAGCGCAGCCCGCAGCCCCCCCATTATGCTCGCCTGATGGGTTGTAATATGACTCATTGCATGTCACCACGAATTCAAAGCCCCACACCTGCTTCAACAAAACCGGCGAGCCGCTCGGCGAGCCTCCGTGGTTTGTCAACGCTGACATTGCAGGCAAAGTGAAGCAAAGAGCCAGGACAAGCGTCGGCGAAACGGCGAGTCGGACGCGCGATTTGCTGGCACGCAAGCTTTGATTCAGTGCTCTGTCCTCCAGGACTGACTGTCGCACTCCATGAGAAAACCCCACGATCTGCATGGAAATTCCTGAAAGCTCTCGTATTTCTCCACCACAAGTGCTGGTCTGGTGCTACCACGGCCCCAGTGCAACCGCACGCAAAACTGTTACAGCCAGACGCACCGCATTGGGCGGACTGGTCCCTGGGGCGGATACAAATAGCGGCATTTCATGCGGAACCGATGCGACAAGCTTCAACTGGTAAATCCTGCAGCAACCAGATGCACTGGTTCACGCAGTCCTCGAACATGTCAGAATCATTGCCTTCACTCTTCATGTTTCTCTTCACTCAGGTATTCCTTTAGGTCCTCCAAGCTGCATGTGTCTGTGAAGCGGCGCATGCACGGTTGCAGGTCCTCGTCAGCGGCATCTAGGCAGGGGAGTTACGGGAACGGTCCGCGTGAGTGATGAAGGCAGGTGGAGTTGACCATCAAAACCTTGCTGCCCAGAATTGTCCCACTTGTCCCAGGCTGCACCGTGATGATCTCCTGGATGGTTGGTACCTGCCGAGAGGCTGAGGTCCAAAATCCTCCATGATGCACAACCCCGCACCTCCCCCATGCGCTGTGTCAGCTCATCATGAGCAAGGTTCTCCTGCTCGAGAGTCGGTATTGAACGCAAGGACGTCGAGAACACTAAACATGTTGACAAGGCCTATATTCTCTCCTGCAGGATCAAGCACTCCAGCATTGCAACAGAATAGACCATTTGCTGAAAGCCCCGGCCAACGCGAACAACTCCAAACTCAACAGTGCAGCACTCAATCCATCGCAACTCACAACCCCACATGGGTTCCACAAAATCATCGAGAGGCTGGCTCCTCCACCACTCGGACCTCCTGCGGGGCCGCATCATTTTCCGTTGTCGCTCCCGGTCCGCTTCCTTAGTATTTAGTTTATCTAGGCACGTCTCGCCCATTCTCTTTGAACACAAGGCTGGCCTTCTCGGGATCTGAGGCAGACATGTCATTGTCAGAGCCTCTTTGGAGATCCGTCGACAAGCCCAGCGATCCAAGGGTGAGGCAGTCTGAATGTTCGTGTAAGGTCCACCTTCGATTGGAACCTCGATCTTTTGCCTGGCAGACACCGACAAAGTATCGTCGGTTCCAACTCGCCGGATCAATTTACAAGTCAGCTCAACGCGCGCGTGCGGCCCTGGACCTTCTGGATTGGATGCCTCAGGCGGGTCGAATCTAGATAATCTAAAGAGAAGGCGCCAGCAACCACGAAACCCGATCCAGCAGCGTATACGTTTGAGCGTTGATCAGGATCACAGCGCGAAGTTCCGCAGCCGAGCGCGTGCAAACACAGGCTCCAGGGCACTGATGTCCAACCTTTGAATGTTCACACAGTGCACTGCATTGCGTGGAGGAGGTTGCTGGGCTTGCATCACACCAACATCCGAACCTCAAGTGGGCCAAGCAAGCGGCTGCATGCTCGTTGGCGCAGACATTGCGAGCGTCGGATCTACCTGGGCCTGCCAGAGGGAATCCAGTGCGAGCACCCTGAATGTTAATGTGTGCTCCAGAGGTGGATCTCAAAAATTCAACACAACCAGCAAAGTCGGCGTTGGCACAAAGAGCCATGTGAAGAGATAACATCTTATCCCCCCTATCCTACCACGCGGTCTTTCCTGGAATGATGAATAAATTGGAATAGTCTTGGCAGCGTTAAGTCTGATCTCTGACAATGAATGATTTCAAAACCCAAACCGAGGTCCAGATGAGGGCAGGCACCTTGCCTCAACTTCAGCGCCATGCCTCTCCTGGTCGTTGTGGGCGCTACAGGCTGACGCATCAGTCTGAAGATCTGCAGCTGCTTGCCTTCTCAGGCTTATTTCATTTTTGGAACCTTATTGTGGTCGCTGGGCTGCAACAAGCCAAGCTGTGATATCGCCTCTGCCGCTACACGGAACGAATTGGATGTGTCACAAATCTCAAACGGGAAGTCAAATCCAAGCCAAGCTGCCTGCGCTTTGGCCGCGCGCCAAGCAGCAAGGTCTTTCGCCTTCTGCTGTGCTTTCTCTTTCGCCTTCATTTTTGCGCTTCCTGTGGGGTTGCCTGTGCTCGAGAAAAAATGCTTGACTGGAAGTCTAGAAACAACATGGACGTCAAGAGCACTGTCACAACTGAAACGTATGCCCTGATTGCTCCATGTCCGCATTTCTGCTCTGAGTGGCAAAAGAGCCGCTGCCCACATCTTGCTGTCAAAACGTCGTTCCTGCAGCGAGCCAAGGCCAATTCCTAAGGCGCGGCGGCGCAGCAACAAGAAATGGCTCTGCTATGTGTCACTTCTGGGATGGGCCCTGAAAGTGTCCTCCTTTGACGTAGCAGAGCTGACGTGTCTTCCATCTGACAAGAGAACTGTCTTCGCGTCCAGCAGCGCTTTGAACTCCCCGTCAGGGTGCATCTGGAGGGCTCTGGCCCTGTAAGCCTTCGGACAAGGCAAGAGCTTACAGCAAGGCTTCATCGTTGCCACCACCGCGAACCGCAGAATCAGCCTTCTCCACGTCCTGTTTCGGAGCTCCGCACAGGACACCTGCCAGCTTCGAAATGATGCGCGGTTTGCTGAAGTCTTCAGGCTACCAGCACGAACTCTGATCGGCTGGGAAGCGGCCGGCCGTTGCATCCCATTCAGCTCCAAGACTCGCTCAGCCTTCGCAAGCAGAGCTGTCAATGCTCTCTTCACCTTTGACTCCACTGCATATATTGTAGTAACGTTCTGCGGATCACTAACATCGTTGCAACAAGCCATCCCTTGACAAAGGAGAGCGCGAACTGCATGGCCACCGATTCCGCACTCGGACACCGGCGCAACCCCCGTGGGCTCACGGAGCAGGAGGAAGCCTCAGGTGGGTCTATCTTTGGGGGTCAGCCTTCCTCAGGGTTGCAGGAATTTCCGAGGGAGCCATGAGGATTCGTCAGGGTGACTTGTGGATTCTAGGGGCAACGTTGGCAACGGGGTTCACGATGCAAGGTGTAAAGGTTTGGAGTTGGTGGGCTTATGATTTCCGAGGCCTCGCTCTTTGGGATTGTGGGACCTGGGCTTTGGGTCATGTGAGAAGTTTCCCGAGCCTGTTTACAGGTTTCATAAGAGCTTCTGCAGGGCTCGGTGGATGATTAATTCTAGCACTTAAGGTTTAGTCCCCGGGCTGATATGTGGGTTGTAGCTTTACGGCGCAAGGTCTAAGGTGTAGGGTTTTAGGTTCAGAATAAGCGATGCAGCGCTGGAGGGCTGGAACGCCGGTTAGCATGTTTAGTGTTTAGATGTTAATCATTCAAGATTCAAGAATCTAGGCTTCGGGTGTGGGTTTAAGGGGTTGTCAGGTGTTTTTTGAAGGTCAGGTGAGATAAGATTAGGCGAGATGAGGATTGAGCCCGAGATTCAGTAAAACATCGACGTCAGGGCTCAAACCCGAATGGATCCGGCGGGCGAAGGTCTGAGGTTCAAGGATGAGCCCTTCAGTTTGGCAACTCAGCGTTTAGGGTTCAAGGCTTCCAGGGCTTCAGGTTTGAGGTTTAAGGTTGAGGGTTTAAGGTTTCATTAAGGTTTCAGGGTTTTTAGGGCCAAGCCAAAGGTAAGGTTGCGGTGTTAAAGGCTTAAGGCTTAGGGCTTATAGGGGCTGTCCCAAAACCCAAGCACCCAAGAAACCAGGAAGCCGGGAAACCAAAAAGCCAAACGCCAAGAACTTCTCCCCAACAGACACGAAAATCAAAACAAACACTCAAAAAAACTACGGCCCATAAGACAATAATGTTGCCGCAAGGTGCGGTCCTGGACTGAATGGATTCCCAGGGTGCTTGTCGAACCGCCCTGTGCTGCTCTAGGAGCTGAGGGTTTGGGATGGAAGAAACCTTGAACACCAAAACGCCCCAGATCCTTAACGCCAAGCCTATAGACTACACCCTGTGGATCCCTGTGGCCTTGACCCTCCTCACAACACAAGCCAGATCCGCATGCAGGAGCCGGAGCAGAAGGGATTGTCAACCAAAACCAAACCGAAAAGACCAAAAAGCGCCAACAACGGCGACAGCACCCTTTGAATCCAAAGAGGTCAGTCCTGGAGGTCGCACAGCAGCTTGTGGCATTCCTCACGAGTTCAAGGTTTGCAAAGCGTAAAATGTGCATTTTCTCGAGTGCTTTACAGTAGCGGGTTCAGCTTCTGCAGCACGCTTTGAGAGCAGCAACGATTGCTGCATTCAGACGTCATTTAAATTAGGGTGCAGGGCGGGGGATCGGCTTGTTGCGAGGGCCCGAGGGCTTCGGGCCGAGGCTTGAGGTTCATATGGTTCGGGCTTACCGGGTTCATACGTCTAAGGGCTCATGGTTTTAAAGGCTTGGGGTGTAGGACTGGTCTGTAACATGTGGTGCGTGTGTTGTGCAGGTACCCCATCTACTTCGCTTTGAATGATTGTGACATCTTTCGCGCCGAAAAGCCCTGAAACTTGAGTCCTCAAGCCTTAGCCAACAAGCCCCAACCGTCCCTCCAACTTGCATGCCTCATTTCATTGAACTGGGAACTTTTATGTATGCTTTGAGCGCTACTGCGGGGCCTATAGGGTTTGTCTCAGGGTACAGGCTGCCACTGGTCAGGTGTTATGCAACATCCCCGACAATCCTCGAGTCCCTTACAGGAGCCCCTTCAACACTGACTTCGATGTCTTGAGCCCAAAATCCTAAACCCTTGAGCCCTAAGCCCCGCATCCTGGTCATTGTGATCTGCTCGATGTGAATGACCTGGCAGGGCCAGGCTCGAACGTAGGCTTGTGTCAGCACCCGTGGCACCGGTTTGTGGACTCTGTGCCTCAGTGACTTCGTCGCACCAGCACCAGCCTTTTCCAGCTCACACCGTAGTCACGAACTAGTCCGCATGAATGCCACCTCCAGATCATGGATGCCCCTGTGCACGACGATGCGACACAGACCTGTCAAATATGATGCCAGATCATTCCAGCATGCTTCGTGCGCGTGAAAGTTCGACCTTCACGAAACCGAACCGTTTGAAAGTTTCTAGAGAAATATGGACTTTCTGACGAAGCGGAAGCACAGCTACTATGCACAGCCCCCTAGTTTTGCAACTTTCTCTTTGTTGCCTAGCATGTGGCGTTGTCATGGAGTCATGAATCCAAACATTGCCTGTGATCCACTTCTTGGTGTCGTTCATGATGTAGTTCTCTCCCGAGGTATCCAGACCCGCAGTGGTGCGCAGCCCACATCGGAGCCAGCGAATGCGAATGTGACCGCAGTGGCTGACAAAGCATGCCTCGGTGATGGCGAGTTCAAAGGCTCGAACCCAGGTTGCCTCTCAGGGTGTTCGTTGGGGCTTCAGGGCATTTTGTAGGCAGCGGTGGTGGCTAGCTACAAAGCTTAAGACGATGTACTCATATGTCTCCGGCAGAATCTGAACAGTCCCGCATCTTCCCACTGCAGTCACGTCACCCATACACCTCATAACCAACATTTGTGCGCAAGTGCTGAATCTACCATGTCCTCCCTTCGTAACAGACTCGAAGACCGAAGACCGAAGACCCAAGTACCGGACTACTAACGTAATTTGGTGGTCTCTTGGTTTGTTCCCGGCAAAACAGAAGGGGAAACAGTTGTTGAGTTCCCCTCCTGACGACTCGGTCTTGAACTGTTCTCTTCTGGATGCACTGGCAGAGACTAGCAGGGTCGCCGAAGTTGCCAAAGAAGACATTCTTGCAGCTGCGCCATCCGACACAGAATTATGATTCATTGCGATGCTCGTAGACCATGTAGATTCAATGGCCCATATTCTGCACATACCTATGCTCGCTGAAAACCACATTGTTGCAAAACTCGGAGGCAATCAAGTGCTCCGAACTCAAGCCGCTTCCACAGCCCTGAGCAAAGCCAAAAGCTGCATGTGCGTGTTCTCATCTGCGTCAGGGCTGGATCTACATGGCGGCGACACCGGAGGGACAAAAACTGCGATGCAAATCTCTGGAGAGATCTTTGTTTTTCATCTTGTAATTACGCTGCCTGTACAATGAGGCGGGCTGTACAGAAAACACTGGCAGGTCCGGGCAAGTGATTCCTGCAGCCCTGATGCGGCTCAGAAATGCGCTGACGAAGTCCGGCAGTACAATGTGCTGAAAGCTTCGGACACCATGTCACGTGCCAGCCTCCAGCCTTGCTCGGTTGCTGCTGCAGCGCTTGTCAGCTAAGTCTCTGCAACTCTGCAAGCAGCGAACAACACAAAATCGGGTACAATGCTTCAGTAAGGCTGGGACGCACCTCCCACACCGTGAATCTCTAAAATGGGGTTGGCTTTGTCCTGTACCTTGGAGCTTTGAGATCATGCACGACAGTCACGGAAAACCTGTGAATGTGCCAGGGAACAAGTCGAACTGAAGCGCCAAACTGCTGCGCCAGCCAAATTGCCTGGCAGGACTGTGGTTGAGCTGATTCTTGATCACCAACCGTGCATGAAACTAATCACCGCTGCCGTTTTAGAACAACTTACAAAGCATGCTTACCTCCCCCACAAGCCAAGGAATGAAAAGGGTTCATATTCCAAAGAAAGAGGCAACCCAAAAATTCCTGAAATGAAACCACTGGCTAAGTATCTCGGGCCGAGAAGCAGTCTGAAGGTGCAAGCAGCGGGTAGCTTTCCCCAGCCGCAGCCGCGAGGTACCCTTTGCCAACGCCATGAAAATCACAAGTTGGTCCTGCAACCAAAAAGAACAAAGCTAGTTTCAAGGCCAATAAAGTTTTGACATCAGATGGTCTGAACAGGTGTGTTGTTGGGGCCAAGCGCGGACATGAAGGAGCCGTCACCCTCTGCCTTTGGGGCCAAACGCAGCAGTGGATGGGAGGCGGCCTTGTGCCATTTGGGGCTCTTTCGTCGGAGCTCCAAAGTTTGAGAATGTTTGAGAGATTCGGACTCTGGCCTTGCGACGGTACTGACAACTACCTTCCGGACATGCACCCTCCGAGGACTCATACTCATATCCAATCATAGCCCAACCATGTGCCTCTAAATGCTCGTCGGTGCAGCCTCCGCTGTCCAGGGAGTCCAAAGCCTTCCGCACCGCCTCCTCGCCTACGCTCTCGGCCGAGGTGCCTCTTCTGCCCATCGAGTCGCCTCCAAAGAAGCTGCCCATTTCCATCTCAAGAGACACCACGAGGCCACAGGCATCGCCACCGTTGGAGGGGCACTCCTGGGAATGCCAGTGCACCTGGGTGTTCGGGAGGCGCTCCTTCAGCAGGATCGCTGCACCAGCAGGGCGCTTCAGATTCCCCTCGACCATGCGGCCAAGCACGTTGCGCGGAACCCCTGCAGAGCTGTACACCGCAGCAGAGACACTTCGCACGCCACCGGAGTCCAGGAGCTCCATGCACTGGAGCGGCCAATGCGGGGCGGAAGCTCGGACTACAACCTCACCGCCTCCGTTCAAGAAGCCCTTCTTGTGGACCTCCATTTCCAAGCTCACAGCGAAGAGGCGTCGCAGCATAGGGAACAACACGAGCTGCATGTACTCCACCTGAGGCGCGGTTACTTTCCCATCCTTGGGAGAGCAAACGTTGGTACCCCCTTGCAAAGTGACCTGCACTGAGCTTTTCAGCGCAGCAGACTTCGCCAGCATCACCGGTAGCAACGCCTGTAGCATCAGCATTGTGGAGCCCCCGGTCCCTGCATCAACCACCAGCTCGGTGATGTCCGTGTCCTTCCCTTTGGCAAAGCTGAAGGCCATGCTGCGCTCCGTCAATCCCTCGCAAGAGCCTCCAGCCAGTTGACTGACTCCTTGCACCGCGGCCACGTGCGATGGCCTAAGGCCGGCAGGGTTCCGTCCTGCCCTCACGTTGCGAACCCGCACTCCTCTGTTCAACACAGCGGCGTAGGCCACGGCGCTGCGAAGCAGCTGGCCACCCCCCTCCAGATGCGAACCATCCAATTCCAAGTTCTGGTGCCTGGTGGAGCCGGAACTGTCAAGGGCCACCAGGGGCTCGATTTCCGAGGTCAGATAGAGCTTGGCTCTGGAGGCCTTCCCCTCCCTGCCCTCCTCCCCCTCCTTGCCCTCCTTCCCGTCCCTGCCCTCCTTCCCCTCCTTCGGGTGGTCCTTGGCACCCTTCGCCTTGCCTCCTTGGGATGGCAAGACCAAGCCCAGCAGGATCCAGTCGTCTCGGGTCTGGATGGACAGCGTGACGACCGCCTTCAGTTTTCCCCTCTACGGCTCGAATCCTGGCCTAGCGGCCTAGCGCCTTTTGCTGAAGTCCTGTAGACGTGAACATCTATCAACCCTGTGACATCCTGTAACCAAACCCTCCATGTCTTTGCAGAGCCCAAACTGCCCGTCAACTCTGGTGCCATTCCGTGACCTTTCGGCAGCTGGGCCTTCAGCTCTGGTGTCCACTGGACCAGGCCGGCCACAGCGCCTGCCACAGCCTGCCTCAGCGCCACGGTCTGCTCCTGGGAACCAGCCGCTTTGCACTGCACGTAGAAGCCTCAACATCTTCGTCAAGCTCAAAACGTTGTTCAGTGATGCTTCGAGGTACAGAACTGACAAATGCATCCTAATGCATAGGAGGGCGTATACTGTAGGGCATAGCGCGGGATACTCGGCATAGCGTCATGGCTTCTAAGATCCTCTACCACGGCACTGGGCTTTGCCATGGAGACGCCCTGCCAGGCCGCCAGAGCCTCACCAAATTTCCCTAAGTTCAAGGCGAAAGATCTCATAAGCAGGTTCTGGTTTGTCCGATGAAATATCGTCCCTGTTTTATCTTGCTTCTCCACAGCTGAGACTTTCGGGCTAACCAACGGTAGAAGTTCTTTAGAATCTGATCTTGACCCCTACCGCTATTAAGCACACCCTGACCCCTGAACCCCGAGACCTCTGAAACCCCAAAACCTCCTCGATAACCCTGTCGGAAACTCCAATAGCCTCCGCGCGGACCCACCTTAAATCACCTTTAAGCAGCCCCAGGCCACCTCCTCCCAACTTTCCCGCTGTGCCGAGGCCTCGAGACTACGCTCCAAAGCCTCCGCGCCACGCCCAGACAGCCTGAGAGAAAGTCGGAGAGAAAGCCGAAGAGAAAGTTCTCAAAAGGTGGCTTTTCTTGGAGGTCTCAGGGCCACCCACACAAGCCACCCACACGGGCCTAGCAGAGCTTGGTGGCTTGGGCAGCTTTGGGGTCCTTGCCCCCTTGCTCAAAATGAGAGTTGAGAAGGCTTCTGGAAGACGCGGAGAAACAAGCGGAAGAGGTGGGAACAGGAGTTGGGAAGAGGAGTTGAACAGTACAGAGAGGAGAGTTTGTACAAAGGCACCTTGCCGTGTGCCAAGCAGCCGATGGCTGAGCTCCTGCTGCATCTCCGCAACAGTTTTCCGCAGGAAGCCCTCTGAGATTTGGAAGTATGCCACCGCCACGTGCAATGTTTGAAACATGCTCTGCTTCTGCAACTGTTCCAAGGCTCGCATGCTCTGACTGCTCAGGGGCCTTTCGTGGAAGGTCAACCACATCTTACCACGGAGCTTGGGCGGCCAACCCTTGCAGTGCAGCAGGGGCTCTGACACCGGGCAGATCAAAGCGCCCAGTGCGCGGGAGATCCTGCGGAACCGCGCCGACGCATCGTAGGTTGCCCACACGTCCACGGACTCAGCAGTCGCGGCCAAACCGAGCTGACAAACTGGATTGCCCTCGGGCAAGGCACTCGCTGAAGCTGCTGCAAAAGCAAGGGATTCGGCAGAGAGCTGCCGCTGCACAAGGCCCGTCACCGTGAACGGCTGCAAAGGGATCTGTTTTACCGAAGTGTCTCCTTCAGCTTGACGTAGGAGCATGTCATTGGAGAGCTTGGCTGCCACCCCCGGGAGTCTTGCAACAGTGATGTGAGGATGAAGATTCTGGCAGAGGTGCGCACAAGTCTCGTCTAAGGATACCCTGAGCGCAATGAGTCCAAGACTTTCGTCCCAGCACAGTGCTTGGACGGTGACGCTCACCTCGCGGCCTTCGACCTTCTCAAGCTGCTCCTGAAAGCACGAGGTTTCCGTGCCAGCCGTTGAGGGCCAAAACAAGGTCACATGAGGATCGCTGATTGGCTGCAAACCGGGTGCGCCGGGTGCATGTACTTGGATCGACTGCATTGAAGCGGCGAGCACCTCCTGGAAGGATCCCACCGCCTTCTCCCACAAGATGCTCTGCCAGTCTAATGCCACCATCCAGTAGAGGGTCTTCCATCTCTTTGAAAGATCCACCTTTGGGGAGGCTTGTGCATGTACTGGAAACATCTGGAAACTACCTCATGCAACAACACAGAAACCCACCCACACCACGCTAGAATTGGCGCCGCAACTAAGACAAGGGCCACCCACAAAATTTAGAGCCACCGTGCCTCGTGTGCCTTTGCCACCTCGACAGCGTGCTGGTAAACATCTTCAGTGAAGGACTCTTGTAGTTTGTCTTGCAGGAGCCCCGCGTCACGGAGTTTACTCAATGCGCTCTGAAGCAAGGCCTTCTGGGGGAGGCACATGTCCAGATCCACATAAACATCGAACTCACATTTCTCTTCATCCGTCAGAACTTCAGCGTTCTCCCCTGCAGACATGACCACTGCAGCGGCATCGCTGGCTTGTGGAACCAGAGACAAATGGGATAGGCCCCGGCTTGAGATGCGGCCCGTGCATACGTCCAAGGCGTTGGAGAAGTCGCCTTCGTCATCATCTGGATGGCAGAGGTTTAACAAAGCCAGCGCCATCCGTCCCTCTGGCATTGCGCGTTGCAGGAAGCCCTGGCGAACCGCTGCTGCCACTTCGTCCCGGTGCTGCTTCAGAGTATGGATCTTGTCTATGAAGAGGTAGCGCATGTTCGGACGGGCCGCTGCAGCGGCGAGCACCTGGAGGAACTGCTCTTTCGGGGACTTCCCCCTCTTCCCCACGGCAGCCACCTCATCCTGGTTCACCCAGTCGCCACCCAACAATTCCCTCAGACCACGGCAGAGGCTGGACTTCCCGCTTCCCTGGAGACCACGGACGAGAACGGCCACCAGCGCCACCTCCTCGTGCGCCTGTTCACTTGCGATCGGCGCTCCAGATGGGACGCAACTGCGGTGACGGACCTTCTGAAGCCACACCTCCGGGGCCTGCACACTTGCTGAAACAAAAACGATCTAGGTTAAGCATTGTTAAGCTCAAGGTCGCAATCTCGATTCCAGTGAGTTCCATCTTGGTCAGCCAAAAAAACGGCGAAAGGAAAGAAGAAGCTAAGCAAAGCCTCGCTTTCCAGCAGCTGCCGATCTCGGCAAAGAGCCGGCACCCACTGCTCTTCAGGTAACTCTGCCTCGCATGGCTCTCGCATCGCTTCAGAAGGGTAATGCATTGAGGATGCATATTGAGGGATGCATTGAAGGGGTCATGGCGGTTCAGTTCTTGGGACTCCATCCTGGCATGTCCTGGCGTTTTTTGCTGCAGAGGGTCACGCAGGAGTTCAAAGAGCTGCGGGAATGAGGCCAGCCAGCCCACGGGAAATGTTGCGGTGAGGCTTTCAGGCAGTGCAGGTGCCAGTGCCTCACGGCCTCCTTGGCTCTGGCGGAACTGGTCGTATGCAGCCTTGAGGTCTACCCAGAATGAAGACAAGGTCTCTGCAAAGCCCTTGTGCGGAAGCAGGAGGAGCACCCACCGGTAGAAGGAGAGGTAGTCCTCCCAACAACTCAACTCTCCCTCCAGCTCTCAGAAACAACCATCTACCCCCCCTCCCGCAAGCAGCCCTCTCTTCCCGACACACAAGCCGGTCAGGTCTCAACACCCTCGCCCCAATCCTCCAAGATCTCGGTCTCATTCGGATGGTGCACGTGAAGCAGTCGGACACGGCTGCGAATGCGCGATTCGGAGGCTCGCCGGCAGAACTTCTCCCGGAGGGCCCGGACGGTGACATACCATGCGTTCTTCCACTTGTACACCAGGGCAGTGCGCGTCTGGGCCCCAGATGGCGTCAAAGAACGCACCACCACGTAGACCACGGCACCTTCTCGGTTTGGAAGAAACAAGTGTTTCTGCTCCAGTGCTTCGATGGCCCGAGCATCACTGACCGGAGCTTCGTCCATGTCAACAGGATGGAGTCCTCAGGAGCGCAAGGGAGAATCTGACCCAGAATGCATAGTAGAGTGCAAACAGCAGTTAAAACAATAAGCGCACCCAAGCAAGATCAAGGAGGAGTGCAAAGATAAGCAAACGCAAAAGAAGATCTCTGATATAGAGCCCGCGCCACCCCACTCACTGAAGACGCGAGCTGCTTCTTGCGGGTCAAGTAAAGTCAGGCCGGAGGTCGGGAAGGAGCTGGGAGAAGTCACGGCGAAGAAGCGGATGTGGGCTTGAATCTGCCCTTGACCTTTTGCATGTCGACGCATTTCGCATTTATTCACATAGATGCAGGTGACAGTTTTGATACAGATTACAGGCCACAACCCCTGGACGCCCGGTGGCCCTATGCAAAAAAGGACAGCTGGGGGCTGGGAGGACTGCGAACGTTGCCAGCACGAGATGATGCCGAGGAGCAGTTGTGGTAACTTTGGATGTGCTGGTGAACCGGAGAGATGGACTCTCCGCAGAGGGTAGCAGAGTGCTCCACAACAAAACGCATCATGGTGGTCCGCTGGTCCTCGTGCAAGTTGAACAGCTGGGTGAGGAAGACCTCGGCCATCTCCACGGCGAACTGGAACCGCTCCTCCGTGTAGGAAGACAGGTCTTCCAAGGCTTTGCTCTTGTCCGTGGCGACGACCACCAAGGTGACGTTCTTGGATCCCAAAGCTAGGTAGGGCACATCACCATGGAAGAAGAAAGATGCTTTGCACATCTCTCCGTTCTCCTCGAGGCAACCAAGACAAGTTTGATGGGATCGCTCTGCAAAAAAAGGCTGACAAGACTCAAAACTCGAAACAACTTGAAAGCTGCGTGTGCGACAAACAGTGTCCGAGGGAATGCCGGCGAATGCGGAGCCCTTCAAGCATGATTCTTGGACTGTTAGGTCTCTTACGTCTCTTACGTCTCTTACGTCTCTTCGGCCCAACTGCCTTTGTGGTGAACACCATGGCCAGGCTCAGATGCTCGGTCTTCAAGCTCTTCACGGATGCGGGAAGCCAGGAGAGGGCGCAGCGGCGGGCACCACCGGCCTCCCGGGCCAACGGCCCGAACTTCTCCTCTGAGCTCCCGAACTTCCGCATGGCCGCGAGCTCACAAAGCAGGCTGCCGGTGTCCCCGCGCACCTCAGCGTGGCCCCGTGGCAGGTGTTCCCAGAGGGCCAGATTCTGAGAGAAGGCCCGGTCTGCGTTGGCCCTGCTGGCTGGCTGGGAATCGATGATGGTAAAGGTGGGGCCGGATGGCAAGGCCACCTTACGCTGGACCTTGCGGATCTGGGAGCCGTCCCTTTGAGCCTCCTGGGCCTCCTGGGCCTCCCGACTCGGAGTTTCCTTTGCAAGGGCAAAGGCCGAGCGGAGCCAGAGTTCCACAGCTTGTTCGGGCTGGGCCTTTCTCTCCAGCTTTACGAAAAAGCTACCGAGCATGGCCTCGAAATTGTCAGCTTCGGGGCGGGCCTGTCGCTCTTTGGCCATGGGCTTCGGTTGCTTCTCCTTGGCCGGCTTGGCCGCGCTACAGCGGAGTGCATAGTAGCGAAGCGGTGTGGACATCTCCTCCTCCGACTTGCAACGTTGCAAGGGTGGCTCTGGCACAGGATCTGCATGACAGATCTCCACTTGAAAACCCTTGCCACAAACAGCAGGCATCATTGACCTCTGTCTCAAGAGCGGAGGCTGCGCCTTTCAAGGAACGTCAAATCTCCCTAGAACATGAGTAGCGCCAAATTCATCTTAACAAGAAGCTCAAGAGCCTTAACAGATTTTAAGACAACCTTGAACACTGCCTTTCAAGGTGCAGGGATAGTAGGGGTCTCAATAGGGTCTCAATATGACTAAGCACAAAGGGACAAGATGGAGAGCCTTGACGTCGAAGGCCACGCCCAGGTCACGGCCGTTCTGTGCGAATGCGATGCGAAGACCGTTGCGGCGGTCCAGGCGGGACTCGATCACATCGCCACTTCCAAAAGTGTCCTGACTCAGTTCGGCTCGTGATTGGAATGCCCACTTCAGATTTTTCAAAGCCTCCCCCCCTCAATTAAGATCTCTCAGGCCCGGCACTCAATTTTAAAACTAGAATCCCTAGGGGTGAAGTGCTCTTGATATGTAAAAGGGAGAGAGAGAGAGAGAGAGAGAGAGAGTGAGAGTGAGAGTGAGAGTGAGAGTGAGAGTGAGAGTGAGAGTGAGAGTGAGAGTGAGAGTGAGAGTGAGAGTGAGAGTGAGAGGGAGAGTGAGAGTGAGAGTGAGAGTGAGAGTGAGAGTGAGAGTGAGAGTGAGAGTGAGAGTGAGAGTGAGAGTGAGAGTGAGAGTGAGAGTGAGAGTGAGAGTGAGAGTGAGAGTGAGAGTGAGAGACAGAGAAAGGGAGAAAAAAGAGAGAGAGAGAGAGAGAGAAAAAAAAAAAGAAGAGAGAGAGAGAGAGGGAGCCATAGAGCGAGAGAGCGAGAGAGCGAGAGAGCGAGAGAGCGAGAGAGCGCGAGAGCGCGAGAGCGCGAGAGCGCGAGAGCGCGAGAGCGAGAGAGCGAGAGAGCAAAAGAGCGAGAGAGCGAGAGAGCGAGGGAGCGATGGCGGGAGGGCGGGAGGGCGGGAGGGCGGGAGGGCGGGAGGGATCCGATCAACGCTTGAGCCATGAGCCTTTGCTGACGTCTGCGGAATATTGAGGCCTCAATTAGAGACTGCAAGGGCTGGAGACCTAAACAAAAGACTGCAAAATTTCGAGGGGCTGAAGTGCTAACACAAAAACAGACTGCACGGGCCTGAGACCAAGGTCCGATTAAGAACAAAAGCAGAAGCCGACTCCCCTGACTCCCCCCCTCAATAGAGAAGGGCTGAGGGGGAGGGTGGGGCATTGAGCCAATGGACGGGGGGGGGGTATTAATCGGAGGTCAACATTAACCCGCTACTGCTCCCAGCCCATGAAAGCGGTCGCAGGAAGCAACACACATGGACAAGCGCTCTCACTGCCACTCTTTGCGAAGCCCAGCGTCACCATAAGATTCAAATATGTTGGCATGGGATTTCCTGAGTCGGAAGAGCAACAAAAACTGACAAAACAACAATCGAAGACTTCGCGACCGAACCCTGAACAAAATTCCCAAGCCACCTTCCTAAACACACATCTGACCGCATGACCTGCTGAAGAGCCCTCACGCACTTTGTGGCCCAGTGTCTTCCCTGTCCCTCCGAAGCCAAAGCTAGTCTCGTCAGTTCCCACTTCATCTGCAGAGGCCTCATCCGCCACCCAGCCAACACGAACCAAGCCGGAGAGGACCCGCACCGAGAAGATGCCTTCACTCAAGCGGCTTTGGCTTGACATTGAAACGGCAGGGTGAGTGGAGCAGGAGGCTGCTCTGAGGACTTTGGGGGCTCTTGGTGGACCATTCTCAAAACCGACGGGATTTGCGACTTGGAAATGCTTTTCGGCATGTATTAGCGGCGAAGACTTTTCCCATCTGGATCCACGTCCTCAGCCCGCGCACTCAGAGAAACTGCGACGCACCAAATGGCGAACGGACAGAGGCCTCCACCCCTAGCTTAAGCACCGCGATAGCGGGCAGTGGCCTGGACTTAGACTGTGACTATCTTCCACGTATCTCCGGCGGCAGTACCTATGGTGAGAACAGAAAGGGAGTTTGGGGTTTAGTTTGACTCCTCGAGCATTCGAAACCCAAAAACTATTTGGTGCAGATGACGGCAATCAGCTAACACTGGAGTGGCCATATGTATGATTTTTGTTGCAGCTACGTTGCCTGTCAATCATGTAAGCAGTGAAGCTCCCCCTGGAACGATGCTCCCAACAAATTCTGGTGTTGGCTCCATTTTTTGCAAAGGGCAGCACAGGGCATGGCCTGGAAGCTTTCGCAGCTTGTTTTCAGCTCCCTTACACGGGAGATGTTGTGCTTAAAGCTACGCATTGGGACAGCTGCAAGTCATCAAAACGACTCACGAGAACAAAGCCTTCAAGCAACAACGTGTCCACACCTTGTTTATCCGCGGTCCTGAGCTTGCACTCATTCTTTGCCACACCCCACGAAAAAAATTTAAAGCAGTGAGCCTGGGTGCATGCAGAAAACCAACAAACCAGTTCCTTGACGTAAGGTTTAATTGTTGACGCCGCTTATCGAAACTGATAGCTGCCGGCATGTTAACCTAGCTGCCAGCTAAATACGTTTCCAATATGAGCCTTTGCAAACTTTTGCCTTGAAAATGACACACGTGGGAAAGTCTTGCATGTTCAACTGCGGGACTCAAAAAGATAGACAACAAGCACCCTGCGAGAAAAAAAACGCTCTCAACGGAATCCTCTGCACCATCTCACACCCGACATTCAACTGCTAGTGTCCCAAATTCGCCCCAAACACAAGAGAAGCACATAGAAGCAACAGAAAAGGAAGAAACAAGCCGCCCTTCCATGCCTTGTCCTTCGTCGGGGACACACAAGCCCTGGAGGCAGGAGCCACGCCACCTTTTGGCGAAAGAAGTGAGGCGCCGGCCATGGTCCTTTCGTAGTCTCGGAATTTCGCACCACACTCCAACCTCCCTCCAGCAGAATTCCACTCCCTTCGGCTATTCGGGCATTAGTGCATGCCCTGAAAAGCGCACTTCCACCACAAACAGGGGTTATCTTGCCAAATCCTCTCAGCCTTCAGAATCACGCAAACAAGTTGCCAAGTGCTCCGTGTCCTGAAGCCTATATTCTACACCCCAAGACGCTTGCAAATGTTTGCACATTTTCGTAAAAATCCCTCAGAGCGCCAGCTACAGCTACAAGTTGCAGCTTTGCATGTCCTCGGCCGTCAACCCTGGCTTGGGCAACCACATTGCGCTCGCTTGTGGCGGCTTGGCAGCTGTGAGCCTTGAATTTGTTGAAACAAGTTGCCCCGAATCAGTAACACACAGCAGCTTGATAAACGCTTCGCTAGCCCACTCCTTCACTGAGTCGGAAATTTCTTCGACAATCAAAAGCTTTGCGCGTCCAGCTTTACAAAAAGATTCGTTTGAGTCTCCAGTTGACCTCATGCAAGGTCTTAAACCGCTTTCCCGCCAGGCACGCACATTCCGCACTCGAAATGATAAAATGTGTTTTTGTAAGTTGCGACAACATTCACTGGTTTGTTCTTTTTGACGCTGGCCGTACCGGCTGGGCTGGCAATTTCAGTATGGCCTGACAGACTCGGAAGGTCGAAGTTTGCCTTAATCAAGAAACGTTCCTCGCGCCGAAAAGAATAACAGCGTAGCGCGTCATGACTGTGTCGGATAGGGCTACCCCTTCTGAGCATGCCCTTCTCGTTCACGTCCAAATCCCTCCACCTTCGAGCGTTCGCCCAATTGCGAAAATAGACGTTCGCAAGCTGGATATCTAACCACTCCACAGCAGCCACTGCCAGGCAGCACAACGACAGGAGGTGCTGCTAGGGCGTTGTGGAGTTCATCGCCTTGAGACGGAATTCGCCTCTCCACGCACCGATTGGGGCTGGCCTCTCGGGCCCTGCTTGGCCGGTTTGGGGCTGACGTCTTTGATGGACGATGTGGCGACCCCAAGCGCCGGCGCATCGGCACCTGAACAACTGGCCTGGCCATCTTGCGGGCAGCCACGTGCACATAGTGACATAAGAGCATTGTTGCGCAATGTTTAATTGAAAAATTTCTGGAACGTTGTTGCGCAGTTCTGGCTTTATCGAACGATCTGCTGGAGAATTGTCGCGCCATCTCTGGCCTTCTCGAACGATCTTCCAAAACAATGTCTTCTGCAACGAGGAAGGCCCACCACACAT